TATGATTGTGAAACAACTTATTTTGGTCTTTTAGCATCCTTTGTGCTACATATCCCCCTCATTGAATAGTTCACTGGAACAACAGACTGTTAGTATGCAATTTTAATGTTGGAGTTGTAGACACAAATGTTTGCATTATTTGGTTGAACTCCAGCATAGAGTAATAACATGATTCTATGCGTGTGTTACATATTTCAGAGAAACAGGTAAGACTGTTCATGAATAAGAGTTTCGTATATTATGCGACTCATTTAACTATTTCTATGTACAATTTCGAATCCTACAGTTACAAGAGTCTTGTACATGGGCAGTGGTTAGATTGGTTTGCTTTACTACTCAACTCCTTTGTCTATCTTTTTGTATAAAGTCTTGTGGTCCATCTCCCCTGGCTTTTTGAGATACTTCCTTTACCAGGATTGCCTTCCTAGTATGTGCTAGTTCTTACCCTTATGTTGATGGTCTATATTATACTTTGCACAATTGGCACTACGAACAAATGTTGATCCTTATGACCAAATGTTTTACTGTTCAGATAAGTTAGTTTATATATTGGAAATACAATGATTAATTAGCAGTATTTCTTGTACAATAAGCATGTTGTTCCTTCTTTAAAATGATATTGCACGATGTAGTCCGCCAAGCCAAGCCACTGTCTCATTTACAGTAAGATATTTTATACGGAATAAGAAAAAGATCGTATTCAGTGAACAAAATTTTCATTCATAATACGATTTTAAAGATAAGTGATAGATTTCGCGAATCTAGCATAGTAAATATAGCTTGAATTGGATCAAACTTATTTCAAAACAACCGGGCAGGAATTTCAGCAAATGGGAATGCCTTGGAACAAACATTCCCTAATTAAGGGGTTTTAAACCAAGAAGTCAAGTTTTCCAGGCATGATGTATATATGTTTGTATGTATCACTGGATCTCTTCTCAGGTATGGCCCACAAGAAGTTTGTGACCAACAAGGGTCCCAATTGTCCAAAGTGGCATAAAGAAATTAACTCTAAAAGATTACAAAAGTTAAAGAGTAGCATCAGCATGGTTGTCTGTTGTGTTCTGGTGGATCCCATGGAATGGGCATGAGAACTGACTTTGGTTTGGGGAATTAAAATTGATCTGCTGACTAATCTAAATCTTGTGCTAGTCAACTTGAGATTGGTCAACGCTCTCATCTGTATATCATAATTGTAACCTTCCTCCTCTTTTCCTTTATTACTAATTCTTCTCGATTATATTTACAATATTCTTCTCGTTCAAAAAAAAAAAATACAATATTCTTGAAAATTTTATAATATTTGTGATTACCTTTTCTCAAAAAAAAAGAAGTTAAGATAATATCACGAACTCGTTACGAACCTACAAAGTCACACATGCTTGAAACAAAGACTATTATTCAAATAACCTCAGTTCAAGTAGTAATATGAATAAGTTATAAATTCAAATGTCCTAAATTTAAATATTGACAATTCCTTGAGGTCAAGTCATTAGGGATTTATTCCTCATAAATAGCGTAGTCCAGCGTGAATGATCTGTCATTGACCTAACCAGTGAGAAAATTAATCGATATACGCATAAACTTATCCAAACACAATTGACTGTTAAAAAAAAAAAGAGACCATTATTCAGATAACCCTAGGTCAAGTGATAATAGGAATAAGTTGTAAATTCAGATATTCTAAATTCGAATTTTGACAACTCCTTAGGACCAGGTTACAGAGAATTTATTCCTCATGAATACCCTAATCCCGACGTGGATGACCTACCTTTGACCAGACTAAGGAGGAGATTAACTGAGGTGCACATAAACTGACCTAAACATCCTTCTCCGTTAAACCAGGGAAAAAAAAAAAAGACCATTAGTCAGAGAGTTTTCAGCCATTAAGAAATGGATCCTAAGTTGTGAAAGTCCTTTGATATGTTGTTATGTGCGATACAAAATTCGGGGGTCAGGGTCCATACCCCCAACCCTAAGGCGGTCTTGCCACCGATTAATTGTCGGTAAGACATTTTCAGAGAACAAAATGGTTAGGCATCCAGTTGGGACTTTGCCACGTACTATTGACATAAGATTTTTGAGAACAAAATGATTACTTGTCCAAAATTAAACTTAGAAATCCACATCTTTTTTTAAGGTTTTGTTTATTTAGCAGCAGAATGGTAAAAAGTGCAAAAAAGAGAAAATGATAGAAAAAATAATTTTCTTTCATGCTTGAATTTTCTTACAAATAACTAACTTTTTTTTCTTGTAAAAAACACAAAAAAATGCAAAAAAAGTTGTGATTTATAGCTAACTTCTCATTTTACCCTTATTTTTCTTAAAATATTTTATTAGTTATTAATTTTAAAAAAATTGGTATGAATTTGATTAATCATATGATTTAGCTCAAAAACCTTTGTGTTGGTGATTGTATTAGAATTAGGTTTCAAGCCATTTTTTTTATGTAATTACATTTTTTTTCTTTTTAGACTAATTTAATATAATTAAGGATAATTTAGACAATTATAAAAAATTTCTTATAATTTCACTTTCTTTCGAACAATAAAATAATTTTTTTAAAAAAATTTCCTATAAATTTTTCATTTTAACTAAATACATGTATGAAAATATATTTTCTATCATTTTCTTTTCTTTCACTTTATTTTCTATCATTTTTACTTTCCATAATTTTTTTGCTCCTAACTAAACAAACCCTAGGGGGGACATTTTTTTTCTCCTTTGTGAAAAGGGTTAAGAAAGAGCATTTAATCTGGGCGTGTTTCGATTCTCAAAGACGGATTGGGTTGGATTGAATTTTGAATTCAACCTCATCCAACCCAATGTACAGATGTCGGGCTAGAAAGATTTCAAATTCATATGTATCCTATCCAATCTTGCATTTGGGTAGATAACATGTCAAGTATGTATCCTATACACATGTTTGAAATAACCATTAACCATAGCTTTTTACTGTTTTGGGGTATATTGGTAAAAAGGATTTTTATCCCGACGGTAGAAAATATATTCCACAGATGCCGTGGGTTATTTTTATTCGGGTCAAAAGAAATTAATGGCTACATTTACTATGTGCTGACTAATTGAAGTCTAATGTTTATCTCACCCATTCTCATTGGACGCCCCCCCTCCCCTCCATTTTTCTTTTCCTATGGGAGATAGCCATGCCAAATTGGTTGAAAAGATTGAACTTTTTTTTGGTCGGTTAAAAAAGATGAGATAAAAAAAAGAGTGTCCAGAGATTACTTTGATAGATTTTAATTATTGGGATCATAAAGTCTTTGACCGCGCCCGTTACACCTCTTAAAAATGAATCTAATTAGACTAGCATAACAGTCAATCACTAAGTCTCATTGTGAATTCCAATACTTGAACCTCCAATATTAAGGTGAAAAGTTTTGCCTGTACTCTACTGGACCACATTACTCGATGGTGTTGAAAGATTAAACTTAGACGTATGGTTTGAAAAAAAAAATATTAGATGTAATAGTGATACCACATGACATTGATGATATGATGTTAACCCGTGATATAATACCAAGTAAACTTAGTGGGTTCCACTGTTTTACTAACTAACTACTAATAACTACCTTGTCATTTTAGAATAATGAGGTTCGCCAATCAATCTTTTTATAATTTGTTAGTAACACTGCATGATAATGATGACGTGATGTTACCCTTACATTTAATATTTACTCAATTTGGAGGACATTAATTTAACGTAGCAAATTATATAACAAAATTATTAGATGATGAACCCACCTCTCTATTTGCTACCATGGCAAAATATCAATAATCTCTTAACATAAGTGTAATGTAACACGGATTTAAAAAGTAGTGCAAAATCCAGTTTATCCCCTCATGGTTTGTGCCTTGATCAGATGATCCCCTATCATTTGGAAATATGCACATCATCCCTTGTGGTTATGGACTAAACTGTAACTCTCATATTTTTTGTCAAAAAAGATGATAGTGGAGTGAATGCACTAATTTGGCGATTGATGAAAGAAGAAATCAACTTCCTTCCAAAATAAATATACACAAATGTCAAAAATGACCCTCTAATGCTATGATAAAAGCTTGAACTTTTTATTTCCTTCGAAAGGCTGAAGTACTACCTTTCTGTTAGAGCTGGAGGAACGAAGCTACCATAAAAAGGTAATTTATTTAAGCATGTTTTTTGAGTAATACAATAGCTAATAAATTACTATGATAAAGATTATGTTTTTCTTATTCTAGTTATTTTTATTTAAAATATGTATAACAACTTTATAATAATGTTTCGTTATAATTAGATGTCATACTCGAGCAACTCAAGGGGATAAGAGTCTATGGATTTGAGGTTCAGTACCCAAATTAGTGGGTGCGGGCGTAAAACAATAATCAAAGTGGTTGATTCCGAGAAATCGTCAAAGGGAAGATTGTATTATGTTTGCGGGACTAAAAATTGTGAATTTTGGGCATGGTGTTATCTCATTTAAGTTTTGGGCATCTCGACTGGTATGTCTGCCACTCCAAATGATGATGAAATTGCAAAAATAAGCAATAGGGTGATGATGATTGAAGCTAATCAAGAGGCCATGAAGTCTGAGCAGGAGGCCATGAAGTCTATGCTAAGGAGAATGTTTATTGTATCTGTAATTTGTTTGTCGGTGTTGGTTTTAGTCTTAAGCGAGAACTAAAAACATGTTGTCTATGTTTTGAAGGACTATTTTGTATTTAATGTAATGTGAAGGCGTTTTATCTAATGGAATGTCTATTAAACACAATATTAGACTTCTATATATTACTGGACATATAACCACATATAACCAAAAAGAGCAAATGCTCACAACCATTTCTCATATAACCAAAAGGAAATACATGTTCAATACAATCAAAATAGCACATAGATTGTGCACAATCAAAATAGCACATAGATTGTGCACAATCAAAAGAGCACATAACATATTTTCAAAAATGCTCTTTTGATATAATAGACAAAAAATATTCAGACTTAATTATGACATTTTCTTAGCCCTAATTCTATCCAATAAGTTGGATATACTTGTTTTGTGCACATTTCTAGCAGGTTGAACAAGTTGGATATACTTGTCAACGACACCATTCCCAGAACATCTCCCAACTGCACCACTCTTATGACCAACAGTGCAAGCTGCACCAGCAATTAAGGCTTGACCAGCAGTGGAGGCAACAGCAGTTGAGGCAGCAACAGTAGAGGCTGGACCAGCAGTGGAGGCTGCATCAGCACTAGAGGTAGTAGCATTGGAAGCAGCAACATTAGAGGCAATAGCAGTATTAGTGAATAACATAGAGTGATGTGCATATTTAGTCCATAACCACAGAGGAGTAATGTGCATATTTCTAAATGATAGGAAGATCATCTGCTTAAGGCACAAACCATGAGAAGATAAATTGAATTTTACCCTAAAAAGTAAACTTAAAGAGTAATGCTACACTACCTAAATTTTGGGACCAAATTTAGAGGTCAAATGACATGACAGTTAATTATTTGAAGTTTTTATTGGGCTCAAATGACATAACATTAATCAAAGAAGTCCAAGTCAACTGCCATGTCATTTGGGTTCTAAATTTGATTCCAAAATTTGATCAGTCTAGTATTACTAAAACTTAAAATGTGTATTTGATAATTATAAATTTAAAATATAGTTAAACATCTCTCTATCTCTCTGGTTGAAGCAATTAAAGAAAGAGCTGTCAAACCCCATCCATCATAGTTCTTCTCTCTCTCTCTCTCTCGCTCATGGTACGGTCATGGTTTCCATTATTTTATTTTATTTTCAAGTTGAAATAGTTTATTGACATTACTAACGTTTGATTTGTCAAAGATTGCGATTGTTTACAATGCTACATGACTATTTGTTCACAGTCATATTAGTATTTCTTTATTCGTACGAAGCATTGATTACAAATGTACTTATCGTTTGTGTGCAAAGTTGACTATTGCGTACATAAAAACATAATCGAGAAATTTTGAGGGTGTTTCTTAGGTTTATAGCTTCAAACCTCACCATAGGATAATTCATCCAT